TTATGTTGTGCATGATCTAACTAGTTCATTTTATTAAGCCTCGGTTACTAAAATACTAAAAAGGCAAGGACTTTCATTTGAGCATATGTGAGCATTGCCTTGTGTATAGTAGATGTTGTGTTGTGTATGGTTCTGCACAGTTTTTTGAATTTAAATTAAACAAAGGGCAAAAATGTATTTTTGGTCTCAAGAAAATTGCAATAAGGGTCCTCAGGCTTGCAGTGCAATATCAGACTTTTTCAAGCCCAAAGTGCAATTATATATTTTTTAAGTCCCTTAGTGCAATTCTTCCAAATAATTTCCTCAATTCCTCTATATAATGAAATCATAATCATTGATTTATATAAATTTTTCAAATTTTACTTTTAATTTTTATATATTTTTAATAATTTCAGTCTCTATATCTTAGTGTTTTCAAATTTTCTAGTCCCTACAATTTAACATTGTTAAGGATTTAATAAATAAATATCACACAATCTTACTAAAATAATAATATTTATTATTTTTGCATTATAATTGATTTATTATAATTGTCAATGATATATTAATGTATATCAATGATAAAGCTCTTGTAAATTTTTAAATTTTTAATAATAAAATCCTTGTATATCACTAATAAACACCTTGTATATCAATGTAAACCAAACACACTGTCAAATTTTTAAAAATTTAGCTCATATTTTCTAGGCATAAAATTTTTTTAGGCCGATGGGCCAATGTATCCTTAAAAATATTTAAAAAAACTACATGAATTAAAAGTAAAATCTAATAAAACTAAAGGAACCAATGATTGTATTTTCCTTTTATTTTTATAACTCAAAATTTACATAGTTATGTCTTCTGAATAATTTTTATACATTTAAATTTTTTCATGAAAAATTTGACAAAAATGTAAATTATGTCAAATCAATTTTTCTTTTTTTGGCCAAATATATTAAATCAAACTTTCTATAAATTTTAAAGTTTTTTTATTTTGAGAAAGTTAATCATTCATTGAAATTTTAATCTTTAGAGATTAACATATTTAATCAATCAAACAATAAGGCACTTAATTCAAGATTAAGAAAAAAATATAAGGATGTGTAAATTAATTTTTTAAAAAAATTTATCACATGAGGAAATCAAACAATTGGACCTACCTATATAATACCATTAGAAATGCCTCAATTTAATTCACCAAAGAAAAAAACAAAGAAATGCCTCAACTTATGATTTATCACTTCGTAAATCGGAAAGGGAAAATATGCATATGTAATCTACACAATGTCAAAGCACGTTAGATTTACAATGCTTTAAACAGTGCATTTCTTGTTTTTTTAAAAATTAGTTAACGAATGATTTTATTAAAAAAATAATTGTGGGACCGATTACAAAAAAATTGGGTGTGAGACCTATCATTAAAAAACGTGGGTGTAGAACCTACATTTATAAATTTTAAAAATTTAAAAAATGTGTAAAAAATAATAAATATTTTATATTTTAAAAGAACATATAGGATCTATAATAAAAATTAACCATGAAAATAAAATTCTTAGTAAAAATAATAAGTGCTACATATGTAAAGAAATTACTAATGGTAAAAAAAGTAGGTGTGGGACCTATAATTTAGTTTTTTTAAAAAAATTAGTTAATTGATGATTTTGTTAAAAATATAAAAAATAAAAATAGCTGTGGGACTCATTGTAGAAAAGTATGTGTGAGATTTACCATTAAAAAATATGAGTGTAGTACCTACATTTATAAATGTTAAAAAATTCAAAAATATGTAAAGAAAAATTAAGATTTTTATATTTTAAAAGATTATGTAAAATCCATTCATTAAACTTGACCGTGCATATAAGATTTTCAATAAAAATAATAGGTATTAAATATGTAAATAAATTATCAATAGTAAAAAATAGTCTTGGGATCTATAATTTAATTAATAAAATTTATTTACATTAGAAGAAAAAAATTTCATATAAATTTTTATTTGTAAATGTTAAAATTTTAGACAAGGCATAAAAAATATGAAAGATCACATGTGATTCATAGTAAAAGTTAAAGGTAGATATAATATTCTTAGTAAAAAAAAAGGTATTAGATATGTAATAAAATTTATATTGAAATAACACAGTTTAGATAAAAACAATTTATTATATATTTATTATTAACTCAGGGTAAATAATTATAAAATAATTTTTGTAAGGATGCATAGAACATTTTTTTGTTCATATTCTTCAAAATTCACATACAAAGGTATAAAATCTATAATTAATATGTAAAAGTAAATTATGATTTGAAAACCTATAAAAAATATTAATGTAATTATGTCCTTCAAGTTTCAGAAAAAAAATAGGAGCTTTTGCACAGATAGCTCATATTATAAGACCAAATAAAAGAAATAGCTCATTCTTTTTTAAATTTCAAAAACAGCTTTTTCAATAATTAGATTATAATTAATTTACAAAATTATCCTTTTTAATATATGCTTTTTTCAAACACTAAGAGATTGAAAACGTAAGAAATCTTTAGAGTGAGTCATTCCTCAAATTTTAATTTACACTAGACAACATATTCTAAAATAAAATAAGTTATTATTTATATTTTTAATATGTGTGAACATAACAAATTTTAAAATAGAATATTCTTTTGATTTTAATTTGCACAAATTAATAAATTGTAGAGTAAAATACACTAGCATCCCTTTTATTTTGTTAGAATTAGAAAGACTTCTTCTTTACTTTTAAAACTCATGCTTTATTCTCACTTTTAATATTGTTAGGAATAATATGTTAAATATTTTAAAATAATTAATTTATTACTTGTATTTATGTTGAAAAAATTTAAATTACTCCCTCCGTCCCAAATTATAAGGTATTTTTGAAGAAATTTTTTATCTTAAAATATAAGACACTTTGAGTATATTAAAGTTTTATTAAATACATCAATTCTAATATTATCCTTTCTCTCTCTATGATTAATTTTCATTACTTCTCTTTTTAATATATTAAATGATGGGTATTTTAAAAATTTTTATATTTTTACTTTGAAAAGATAAGATTCTTAAGTATATTTAATGAGGTTTATTGATATATTAAATTTTATCTAAAAGTGTCTTCTAATGTGAGACAGAGGGAGTATTAATTTACCCCTATAATCTATTTATCTATCCTCTCACTTCCTAATTTAAGAAACTTCAAATAATTTTTGGCCAAAAAACAAGTTTTAAACAATTAAGTATGAAAATAATTTAAAGATATTTCATGAAAATTATAAATTTCAATAAAAAAAACATAAATCATATTGACCAATCTATCTTTTATTTCATTAATTTTTTTTTGGCACATACGTGTTTGAAGAATTATTTTAGCAAATTTACTCCCTTTGTTAAAAAATATAGATATTTTTTAAGGGATCAAATGTTCAAAAATTTAAGATATTTTTAGTATTTCATGGTGTAATTATTGTCTTTTTTAAAAGTACTTCTAATAAATAAATTACATTATATTTATTTTATATAAAATACTTTATTAAATAGGAATAAATATAAAAAATAATATTAGTTTGAAAACAAGTAACTACTTTATTGAGGTGAGATTCGATTAGGAATGACTTATTTTTTTTAATGGAGGGAGTATATATTTAATGTTTTTAAAAATACTAAATAAAATAGTTTGTATAACTTTTTGTTTTAGCAAAAAAATAGTTTGTATAACTAATAAATTTAAAATATGAATAAAATTTTAAAATAATATATTAAAAATGATATCTTTATCAAAGTGACTCAACTATCAATTAATGCTTGGATGAATAAAAATTAAAAAAAAAGTAAAAGACATGTTTATATTTTATAATTCTTAACTATTGATTATAAAAAATATTTGTATATATTTTAAAAATAAAAAACTATTTGTGATTATGATAAAGTAAAAAAAAAAAGCAATATATTTTACTTTGAGGAAACTAAAATACTTTTTTGACATTTATATTTTTTAAAAAAAACTAAAACATTCCTATCCATCGAACGGCGTATCCCCCCCCCAAAAAAAAACACAGGGCAAAGGTTCTAATAAGCTAACTTAGCTGCATGACATATGATGAAAATACAACTCCTTCCGTATTAATTTATAAGATATTTTTTAAAATAATTTAACATCTCAAGATATAAGATATTTAAATGAAAATAAAACTTTAATAATAATACAATTTTAATACTACCTTTACCATATAGTCTCTCTCTTTAATGTTTTTCACAAATAGAGTATTAAATTAAGAAAAATTTTGAAAGTTTATATTTTTATTTTAAAAAAGTAAGATTATAAAGTATATTTAATAAAATTTATTAATATATGTAATTTTATTTAAAAGTATCTTATAAGAATAGTGTTTGAATTGAAGACCAAACTGCTTTGAAGAACTAATTAAAAATTTCTTGAAATTAAAATTTTAAAATATAATTAAAGTTTTTCACCTTGACAGCAAGACTGATAAAATTTAATTGCATTTTTTATTTTTAAATTCATCTCATATAAAAAGTATCTCAACATAAAATTTATTCAATTCGACAAGTTCAATAAAATGTCAAGAGGATTAACTCATCCAGCTGAAAGTGAGCGCATGGAGTACCCATGCCAGGACCATGTGCCCACTTAATTTTTTCCACCTTCTCATCACTCTGCTTCCAAATAATAAATGAAGAATAAAGGGTCCAAGTCCTTCAGCGACAAATCAAAATTTAAATTCAGATACTCATATTTAATATCTGATTGTATTTTGAATAAGTCACCTTCAATAAAAAAGATACCTTTGAGAAATAAATAATAATAATAATAATAATAATAATAATAATAATAATAATAAAGGAGGGTCCAAGCCACTCTATGCCCGCATTAATTGCATCTCATTTTCGGCCTTTTCTCCATATTTTCATTGCTAGCTAAATGGCAGTGATCTTGGAATGAACACTAGCCACAAGATGCTGAGAAAGCTTGACATATATATTACGCTCTTAAAACAACTTATTTATCAAGAACACATTTCACAATTTAATCATATACATGCTGCATGTAATATTACATTTCTGAATTCTGAGCCCCCTTAACCCGCATCTGATATTCTGATGCTTCAAGTGTAAGCTACAATATTGCTCACATTCTATAAATTTCAACCATTTATAGGCTTTATAGTGAAATATACAAAAATATATGTGTGTGTGTGTCATTCGTCTGTGTGTATCGACACTAATGGAAGGCCAGTCTCGCAGAGTCTGAAGGCGACCCAGGAGACCAATCACCACTACTTCGAGAGTCCACTCGCCATGAATCTTGAACTTGAGCTGCAAACTGCAGATTCCACAGCACATCCTCAATGGAAGGTCTTTCTTCTGCCTCTTTAGCCAGACACCTCACGCAGATCTCCATCACTGTCTTCAATGATTGATCCAAGCTTGCCCTTCGAACCACAGGATCTACCACGCTCCTCCGTGCATCATCATCCGCTACTATGCTTGCTTGCAGCTGTCTCATCAAATTGCAGAGCATAAATACAAGAAGATTGCTGCTGATACACGTTATATGGACCTCCAAAATAGAATAGACATTGTTACCAGATTAATTAAAGTGTCCACATCATTCTTTGACTCCATTGTCCTTCCAAGGATGAGTTCCAATAGTATGACTCCCAAGTCGTATATATCAGACTTATCTTCATGTTTATTGCTGCAGAACAGCATAGTTCACTGAATGGACAGCTTGCATAATATTTTACTAAGCAGTATATAGTACAGAAAACTACTGTATGATGAGTCCTCCTTTCCATTCAAAACAAGTAGTCTGTGCATGTCTAGTAAATTTACTCAAAATCAGATTAAAATTCCACCACTCACCTTTTGTTAACTTTAGGACTTTTAGATTTGCTGGAAGAATTTCCATGGCCAACCTGCAAGTGAGCTGAATATTAATTGAAGGCTTTTCTCGAGGAAGATAAAAGGACCGAACATAATAACCAGTAAAACATATTTTTCCCCATACGAAACAGAAACTATGATGAATCTTAGTTATTTTCTTGATACCTTTCCCAAGTTTGACAATAAAGGCAGGTTATAGCTGCAGATTTTTGCAACGAGGTTCTGGTCTAATAAAACATCTGTTATTCTGAGATTGTTTGAATAGACACCAGGGAGAATCCCAGTTTGCAAAAACTGGATTCCCTTTGCTACTCCAATTACAGCTGCTATGCGTTGAGTCCAACCAAGTGATTTTGAAGGATTCTCATCTGCCAAATAGAATGAAAAGAACCACGAGTTCATGACCAACTATGACAAAATTGTATTGTACAGTATATGGCAGGAAAGAAGTCAATTATTCACTACTTAGACACCAATTCAGAATTTGAGTGTGACTTATAGTAAATATTGAAAGTAGAGAGATAAGACTTGCAACTTGAGAAACATTGATGGTTCTGTGAATTACCAGAGATCCAGCTCTTGAGCGTGCCATTTGGTACGTACTCAAATACAAGAAATATTCTGCTGACACTTGAATCATCTAAATAACATTCAAAGCAGTGTCCAAGAGCACTGGCTAAATGACGATGCCTGAGTTTTGACATCAGCTCTATTTGCTGCATAAAGCTTTGTGTGCTATAACCTTTTCCCATTTTTACACATGTAATGGCCACAAGTGAACCATTCTTCAACTGGCCTCTATACATCTGAAAAAAGATAACCAAAACACCATTTTTTTTAGTATGCATGTAGACATCACATACAAGTGCGGATGTAATTTTGGCTTTCAATTTAGAGCAAACTCTTCACGGTGTCTTGATATTGGACTATTAAGATGCTGACAGCCTTAAAAACACGTTTGGAAAAGCTCGAGCATTAAAGCATATGATGCCTCTCTCGAAAGTTCAATATAAAACAAAGATGTATACCTGGCCATGAGAACTTTCACCGATGAAAGAAGCTGTGTTAAAGTAGTTTGTAGCAGTCTCAATCTCCTCCAATGAGAAAGTTCGATAAGTTGGCAAACCAACTGCTCCCAACTTCATTGTTTGAGATATATACCCTATAGATGAAGACAAAAGACATGGCTGTTTTCATCAATCTTTAATGTGGACAAGCACTGAGTAATGTGTTAGGGAACTATAATTCTTCCATGTCATCTTCCCCAATTAATAATTGCCAACTAGTAGTTGAGCTTCATTTACAAGCAGCTTATAATCATTTGATAAACTGCAATCAAACACCTCTAGTTTCTCTTCTCAAATTCAAACAATTATTAAGTTTTAAAATCAGTCTATATGCAGAGCTGCATGAGCTAAAACACTTGTTTCCAAATATTTAACGATAGACATGTAAGCACCAGACTTTTCCAAGTACTCTACACGTGAAGAAATGCATAAAATGAATAAGGTAGCCAATCAAACAGACGTAAATTTGTGTCTGCGAGAGAGAGAGAGAGAGAGAGAGAGAGAGATAAAGAAACTTACTTGCATTAGAAAGCAACTGAGAAGTGTATCCAGAAGCAGCATTCTCGGATATAAATCTTACTGGAGGATTCTTAATTTTGCTTTTGGTATTTCCTCTTTTAACAAGAAAGAGAATAAGTCCAAGAAGTGCTCCAACTCCTACAGCTCCGCCTGCTATTCCAACGGAAAGGACTAACTTGGACAATCCTTTGTGCTTCTTTCTCTCAGGTAATATCCCCACGGCTAAGGCCTCAGTGTGGCAAAAGGGTTGTGGGTTCTGATTCTGATCTGCACCATCAAGACAATTTCTAGCATACTGTACTGTTCTGTCACTGGAATTTGACCCCAAACATCTAGGTAATTTGCCTGTCAAAAGATTCGACGACAAATCCACAACCTCGAGTTCTGAATTGCAGGACATATTCTCAAAGACCATCCCAGTCAATTTGTTCCGAGAAATGTTGAGATAAGTAATTGAAGGAAGAGACAACAATGCTGGCTGAAATGGCCCCACAAATGTATTTAATGAGATATCCAATCGCTCAAGCTGGTAATAAGAGGTCACTTCAGAAGGAATACCAGACCTGAAGCTATTGTTCCTTAGTATAAGAGTGGCCAACTTTGTACCAAGCTGAGGAAACTGAGGCCCAAAAGCATTACTGTCCAAATCCAGAACTTCAAGATTTTTCAAACGGCTCAAATCAGGTACCATACCATAAAAGTGATTATTTGCAAGCGAAAGGATCCTAAGATTTTCCAAGCTACCCAATGAATCAGGCAAAGATCCATTGAACCTATTGTTTTTCAAACTCAACACAGTTAAGGCTGGAAATGAATCCATCCAATTAGGAAGCTGACCAGCCAACATATTTTCGTCAAGAATGAGTGTGTGAAGATTGGAAAGTGAAGAAAGCTCTTGTGGGATGGACCCATATAGGCAATTAGAGCTCATGTTAACTATTTCTAGTGATGCCAAATGAGAAATTTTAGCAGGCAATGGACCCCATATGCCAAGAGAAACCAGAGTGAGGACTTTCAAATTAGGAAGTCTTGCCAGTGTTTTGAAAAAGGAATCTACTGAGAAATTTCGAGGAAGAAGGGAAGTTCTTGTTTCACCTATTATATGAAGCTGGGTTATGATGTCTTCATAGCACACGACAGTGGAAGAAGAATTTGAATCGGCGTTGCAGAAGTCTGTGAGGTTATTCCAGCTGTTTATAACGGCAGGGAAGTTTAAATCTCGTTGAATTCTGAGAAGAGCATCGAACTGGGAAGATTGAAGCTGCTCGGAATCATAGATAGAAAGTAAAGCTGTTATTAAAAGCACAAGCAGTGAACTGTGGAATTGTTTTGCCATTGAAAGAACGATTTTTTGTGCTCTAGAAAGTGTCCTTGAGATAGAAGCTTTGTTTCTCAAGACGACGAACAGAAGCCCTGCAACAATATTAAGCCATGTCAATTTAAAAGAGCCGAAATTGGCAAGAGCAGGTTGAATTCATTATAAAGTTTTACAATCCATGAAGTTATAAATAGGAACAAATCAAAAGCCAAGTTTCTTCCTGATTGATAGCTCAAACGAAATTATATATTCCAGGAGAATCATCTGAAAGTATAACTGCAGGAAAATCATGAAACATTACCAAGAGCTCTCAAAATCACGAAGAGCTCCGAGTAAGTCCTCCAAAAACAAGTCCAAACCCAGGTTGAATGAAGTGAAAAACCTTCATATCATCTCTTTCTTGCGCCAAATTCAAAATTTGAAGGAGAGGGAATCTGGGAAGAGAGTAAATTTTAAATATCTTCGGAAATTGTAGACCACTTGACTCAACAAAAGCCAAACTCAGAAAACTGTCAAGAACGAGTCTCCAAATCTTACTGAGGCAGGGAAACCATTTTCCCAGGCGCCAGATTTTTCCTGTCCACGCCAAGACAAAGATGACACAGGGAGAAAGAAAATGAAAGGGCCAAAATTCACACGCGGGACCATCTCATAACCGACATTACAACATATTTTCCATCATAATGAAATTGAGATTCACAAAACTTGCTCCATTTTCCCCCAGGACATAGCTTTGCTTTTCCTTATTTCTCAGGAAGGCCCAAAGGGAAGCCGTAGTTGCAGAAGCAGGAAAAGTAAAAGAAAGATTCTTGTGTAGATGGGAAGCCTTTATTCCTCTGCATGATATGATATCATATATGAGGATATCTTTTAACATGGGGCATGTGGAGTCCAGCAGATTTGGTTAAAGGAGCTAATTTTGTACTTGGCTTCATAATTTAAGAGGGGAAATGGTAAGGTAATGGCTAAAGGTGGCTTTGGCTCAGTGTCTGTGTCTGTCTCATACTGTTACGCAGACTTTCGCTTTCTGGGACCGGTGAGCCTTAGCTTTCTCTCACTTCACTTTGTAAGAGTGGCCCCACGATTTGTATCTGTAGGTTTTGGCGCCTTCCTTTATCTTTAACTCACCAACTGTAAATTGATTTTAATTTGCTCTTCCCTTAATGCGTCCATTTCATTGACATAATGAATGATCCATTGAATTCGAAGCTATCTCTCGTAACGCCTATCTACCTCACGCTTGTGCTCTCACAGCCCAAGAGGTGAGAAATTACATCTGGCTATCAGAGCAGATTAACAAGCTCCAAGCAAGAAATTCTAACATTAATGATACCAATGACGGATCCAGAAAACATTATTAGAGGGGTAATATTTATATTTATATGAGTATTAATATTTTTGAAGAAAATATAATTTTAAATAATAATTGACATAATATTTTAAATGATATGATAAGTTAAAAAAATATAATAATTCATTTTTATTATAAATTTATTTTTATATTAAATATAAGAGAAGACAATAATTTTAAATATGTATGATGAACAATTTTAAAGGGAGTGTGGGGCAATTCATGTTTATCGGGGCATGTGTAGTTCTGAAGAGGGGGGCAAATGCAAGTTTAGCTAAAAAGTAAGTATAAATTTTTCAAATTTTATGGGGACAATTGCCCTCTCTATGTTCAATGTAGATTCATCTTTGAATGATACATTGAATATTCTAAACATGCAGCTATGCGATACTATGGTTCCCTTTGGATATAAGAATTTTCACTCATGGAATGATAATCATGTCTTCATTCCTATCTCACTCATATTTGATTTGCTTGTAAGAAATATGGCATGATCTCTCTAAAAAATGTGGATTATTATATTTTTAGGAAGGATTAAAGTGCAAAAATACCAACTAAATGATTGGCTAAGAACATCCAATAATTTAAAGCAAGAAAAGAAGCAAAAATACACAAAACACGATCGAAGTTATTGCAAAAGTGATCAAGCCGTTAACTTAGTCTTAATACCTTTAGTTTTTTATGTTAAATGCTGACTATGCTTGTCACATACATCTTTACTAACGTGGACTAAAAAAAGAGGTAAAAATATTCATGAAGTTATCAGCCAAGTTCATCTAATAGTCTAAAATAAAAAAAAAGATAAAAAAATATTTATAACGTTACTAAAGTTAGTATAAAAATGATTAATTTATCAAATCTCTTGAATGTTGACTGTTTAATTGATATTTAAGTAAAAGTTAACTATTTTTTGGTTAATGTGGCAAAAAATATTCCTCCATTTAAGCATAAATTGAAACGTTAAATAGATTTATTTCAATATTACCTTTCTTCATTCTCTACTCAACTTTCCTCCACTTCTCTTTTTAACATATTAAATTAAAGTATTTTTTAAGTTTATATTTTTATTTTAAAAAAATAAAATTGTTAAGTATATTTAATAAGATTTATTAGTATGTAAAATTTTATTCAAAAATATTTTATGTTTTAGAATGGAAGGAGTATTTGTTTTCTGGATGTTGCTTCCTAAACTTATTATTTTGATCCATCTTCCATCTTGTGCAATATTAAGTAATTATTTAATTTTAAATTATTTTATCCTAATAGATCATATATTTAAGTACAATATGATGGATATTTTCTTTAAAAAATTTAAAAACGTTAATATTGTTATATCTGTATTATTTTTAATCTGCAAAATAACTTAAAACAATATCTAAAATATATTTTAATATTAATTTTTAAATTTTAATATCCACACAATTTTTTTTAAAAAAATTGAGTCTTCTACAATTTTTTAGGTATTCTAAAAAGTATATTTTATATTTTTTATAATTAAAAAATAATTAATTTTAAAATAAAAATTGAATTTTAAAAAATGCGGAAAAATGATAACTTGATAATTAGACGAACCCAAATAAACTCAAAAGATATTCAAACTGAGTTTAACTATATGGGATATTTTATAAGCTTGGGTAGGCTTCAATTGAGCCTGCAATGCCTGAATTTTGGATTTGTCTAATAAACGTAGGTTAAAGTGTAAAATTGGTGCTTGACCTACCAAAGGTAATATAGAACAAGTTAATCACTTTTAATATATTTGCCCTCACTAGATTTGATTAATTATTTCACAGGGACAATGTTATATTTAATATTAATACTTTCTTCATGTCAAATTATAAAATATTTTTAAATAAAATTTTGCATACCAATAAACCTAGTTAAATATATTTAATAATTTTTTAAAAAATAAAAATATAAAATTCTAAGGATTCATTTCATTTAATATATTGAGGGCTACATTGTTATAGCTTATTTTATGAAAAAATTATTTATTTAAAAAAATATATTTTGTGAGTTTTTATGATTTTTACTTAAAATTTTGAAAACAATTATAATCTAAAAAAGAAAATTTTTGATTATTTCAAAAAGCAACTTTGAGTAGCTTCTGAAAATAATCTAATATGATATATGAGAGAGAGTGTTTTAAAAAGATTGGATATACAAAGATATTATTAAATTATAAAATAATATAATAACAAATCAGTTTTTTAAAATAAAAATCAAAGTAGATATCATAAAATTTAAAAATAATTAATTAATAATCACTTTTTATTATTGTAGCTAAACATAAAATAATATCAGCATTTTTATAAAATCTCTACAGCATAAATCTATTTTTATAAAATCTCTAAACTATTTAAAAATAACTTATTTTTAATTGTTAAACAAATAAGCCCTGAAAATAGAGAGGGACACAGATTAAATAGAGGCAGAGAATTAATAAAACCTTACTTTTTTTTGTATCTTATATTTTAAAATGTCAAATTTATTCTTAAAAATATTTTAAAATTTGAGACAAAGATAATATATCAAAATACAAAAGGTTGTATGCTATAAGTCTTACAATGAGTAGGCTTACGTGATAAATAAATTTTATAAATTTAAGAAATTTTTCTATTTAATAGGTTAGTCGTACATTTTTTTTTATTTATTTCAACTTAAAAGTTCGATGGAGTCTCCTTTTTAAAAGCGAATTTTTCTGGGCTGAAGGATGCATCGTTTATAATTGCAAGGAACTCTCATTTCTTTCCTTTTCTTTGTTTCTTTGTTTCTTTTTTTTCTTTTTTTTTTTTTTATAACAAGGAAACTCTCATCTGTAACTAGTTTGCTTTTTGACCGACTGCTCATAACATTAAACTTATGGTCTCCGTTGTTGACATTGACGGAGACGAACCTGCAACGTGCAGCCAAACCTATAGAGATGCAAAATCCTAAAGAAAAACAAGAGGAGCTTCTTTGTCCATTGCATTATTTAGCCCAAACAACTATACTATGGCGTACTTTAATAACTTAAAAAAGTTTTTTTTTTTCCCCAAGGGCACGGCTGTCTTCAAACAAGCCTTCCATATTTATAAACCGAAATTGCTAAAACTTTGTACGTTCATTTAAAAAACAAAAAAAAAACATTTTATTTACAAAGCGCCGATAAAATAATCTGGAAATCGGCTTCTTACATCCATTTCATATTTCAAATTGAAAATTAAAACTACATAGATTCCTCAACGATCCATGAAACTGGTCGTAGTGGAGTTTGCGTTGGACTTATTGTCAGGGTAACAGCTAAGCCTGAGATCGATATACATAAAATATAATACCATATAATTAATCAAGACTTCCTCAAAGTCTAATCATGAATCATTCTTCCACAATAATTCATGCAAGTCTTTCTTTTTTCTGTCTTGTCCATATTACTATTATTTCGTGGGATATATATCAGAAGGGGAAAAGATATATGGGAATTATGGGGCTCGCTAGTAATAAATAATTAGAAGAACAATGGAGGTTGTCGGTGGTGAAAGGGAAAAGTAAACATGAGAGCAGCAAAAGAAGGAATTGGCAGCTACTGGGGAAGATAGGGCTCAACAGCAAAAGTGGTTTAGGTGTGGTTCCAAGGGCTTCAGCCATGGCCCACCCATCCAAGCGACGGAATCAAGCAACACAGCAACCAGTTAACCCACCCACCATAAAAGTAACATTAAATTAACTAAAATACTGAAAATTAAATATATCATTGAGATATTAATTTAAAGGTTAATAATTAAAATTATAATTAAATTAGGATCAAACTCGTAAATAAAATATTATGTTAAATTGGTTAAGACACTAATTTAATAATTTGCTTATTCTGCTAAGCAAGTTGATCTGAATTTGCACACTGTGACATTAACATTATTCACAGACATAATTACTTTACACACCTTAGACATGACATGCACGAATGAATACGTGAAAGTTAAGCCCACTTGCTCCTACCAGCTTTCTGCTCTTTTACTCTGTTTCTTTTCTGCTTTCGCTTTCAAAAAGTTAAGTTTTTCTTTCCTTTTTTCTTTCATTGATTATTTCTTTAATTCGGATTTTCTCTTTTTCTATGTATCATTTTTGTTAGAGAAGAACTCGAGCTCGACCATCAAAAACTTCATCATGGGGATTTTGGTTTTATATGATCATGAATGAACGGAATTTTTGGAGCTTGATGTTCTTAACTGGGCCTTCCTTGAGCAGATGAATCATGGAACGTATTTATTTATTACATATTATTAGAGAACTTAATTTAATTTTGATAATAAACACTTAAATTATTTGAGCCCTTTTTTGGGTCTGAAGATGCCACTTTTTCTTCGGTTCGCCATTTAGATTTCACTTCCTGAGCTTAAGTTCAGAACTTCAGATGCTGTTTCTTTATCCGGAGAATCCATTACAAAGGCCGTAAATAAATTCAAGTGAAAATCATGGGCTAGGCCCAAGATCTGCCCCTTCTTCTAGGCCCAGGTTAAGTTTTCATATCAATCACAACACCACATAACTTGGCTTCTTTTTTTTTTTTTTTAATCTCTTAA